AGACAGCTCAAAAACCTTTGTAGTTCGGTTTTGTCTAATATGATATTTGGAAATTTATCAGCAAATTCTATTGCTCTATCTATTGGAATAATACTACCTTGGAAGATATTGTGACCCAAAAATCTTATTCTGGTTTGGCAAAGACTAATGTTTTTACCTGAGACTACTAAGCCTACAGCAGACAACATCTTTATTTTGTGATGTGGAATTATTCAGTATTGACAGTGTATTGACGGCTATAATTCAGGCTTTTTAGGAAAAGTCGATACTTGGTTGTATGAGCCCGTTGTCTTCATTTTCATCAGCATAATCTTCGTCATTCTGGGTAGAGGTTGACATTGCCTCCTCTTCATCAAATATCTGTAATAGTTTCTTTTTCAGTTCTTCTTTTGTTGCCATTGGATTTTGTTGCTTCATCTTGCTGATGTAATTGACAATGTTGCTATCTTTGGATTCAGGTGGTGGAATAAAGATTTTTCTTAACTTAATATTTTTCAGGGTCAACGGCTTTATTATCGTACATGTCCCACCATTTAATATATATTTTTTTTCCCAATTTTAGGATATATTCCCAATCTTTAGTATAATCATCTGAGATTGCGGAGGACCATTTCATGATCCAAGGAATTTAGTAGTAAGCCATAAAGAATATATAGAGATCTAATTGGGTATATATATGAGAAAAGATGGGATTAGCCCACTAGCTCATATGACAATATGAGTCCAACATCCTAGATTGAATCTGAGACGATCTGAAGAACACGGATGTCCAGTAGTTTTTGAATTTTATTTTATTTTCTACATATCCAAATGACTTGAAATTTTAGGATTGTTTTCTTCTTATCAAGGTGCAGCTAATAAAAATGTTTTTAAAAATATTTTTGGATATTTTTAGAATATTCACCTATTTTTGATGAACACACACGTAAAATTTCAAGTGCTTTAGATTTTTAGAAAAATAAAATAAAATAAATCTCAAATACTACCGGACATCCGTGATCACCTGAAATTCAATCTGGACCGTTAAGCTTATATGTTCATATGAGCTAGTAGGCTAACCCCAATTTTTTCACATATATAT